TTAAGTGCAGAGCAAATGTTTTGAGAATGGTGAGGGCAACGAATGTACAAATATGCTTTACACTATTGATGTATGTATGAATTGTGATGAGTTGTATGAGCCCCCAATAAAATGATTAAAAAACAAACAAACCAACCAACCCAGGGACAAGGGAACAACAAATGATATGAAATCAATGGCGAGAAGGGCGTAGGATGCCTGGTCAGGCTGGATCAAGGGCAATGTAACCTAGAGGAATTACTGAAACCCAAATGAAGGCCGAATATGATAGTGGGATAAGAGGAAAGTAAAAGGAAATAAGGAAAAAACTAGGAGGCAAAGGGCATTTACAGAGGTCTAAAGGCATGTACATACATAATATATTTATGTATAATGATAGGGAAATAGATCTATGTACATATATTTATATGTTAAGTATCAAGGTAGCAGATGGACAAATCCTCCCTCAACATGAGAACACTTTGTTCTAACAATCCAGCATTCTGTGATGCTCAGCTTCCTGACACGATAGCTGAAGACAAAATGGGGGCATAGCAAATGTGAAGAAAGCTGATGGTGCGTGTCTGTCAAAAGATAGAGCATCTGGGGTCTTAAAGGCTTGAAGATAAATAAGCAGCCATCTAGCTGAGAAGCAATAAAGTCCCCATGGAAGAAGCACACCAGCCTGTGTATCGTGAGGTATCCATGGGATCAGGTATTAGGCATCAAAGACCCAGAACAAAAAAATCATGTCAATGTGAAAGAGGAAGAGTGCAGAGTGGAGACTCAAAGCCCATCTCTAGACAATTGGACTTCCCTTTACAGAAGGGTCACAAGGAAGAGATGAGCCAGTCAGGGTGCAGTATCGCACCGATGAAACCTACAATTTTCCTCTAGTTCTTTAATGCTTCCTCCCCACCGACCTACCCCCCCCAACTATCATGACCCCAATTCTACCTTACAAATTCAGCTAGACCAGAGCATGTACATGTGTACATGGGTACAGATAAGAGCTAGAAACAGGGACTCCAGGACAGATAAACCCCTTAAGACCAATAA